GGCTGCGGCTGCTCCGGCTGCTGCCTCTGCTGGTCTGGGAGGGGGACGAGGGCGGAAGCGGCCCGCTTTCAACCCCGCGCACCCTCCGACCCCGGAAGCGCTAACCGCCCGGGGGCCGGCGAGGCGACTGCGTCGTCCAAACCTTCCCCACGCAACATGGGAAGGCCTCCCAATATCCTAGAGCGGCTCCGTGGACAGCGTCAGCACCAGAGAGACAACAGCTGATAGTACATGGCGAAGTCTATGATAGAGCGGCAGCATAGGGGCAAGGAGGAAACTAGTGTAGTGGCCTCTAGTGGCCTAACTGGAAAGTCCAGGCGTAAATGCGGAGAATTGACAGTGGACGTGGATAAAGGGAAAAAGAGATGGCTGAGGACATCCATCCGAGATGAGAAGAATTGGGGAAAACACAGTAATCTAGAATAACACTCAAAAACAGAAAGAGAAAAAAACGAATTTGCCACATTGGAGGTAACTTTTACACCACCTCCTTATTCTGAAAATTGCTAACTGAAAGGGAAGATTTAAGCATTTACCCTCTCTTCTTAGAAAGAACTGTAGCCCTAGCTGGTTTGGCTCAGTAGATAGAGCGTTGGCCTGCGGATTAAGGGTCCCAGGTTTGATTCCAGTCAAAGGCACATGCCCAGGTTGCCAGCTCAATCCCCAGTAGGGGTTGTGCAGGAGGCAGCCAATCTGTGATTCTCTCTCATTGATGTTTCTATCACTCTCTCCCTCCCTTTCTGAAATCAATAAAAAATAATTATTTTTTTTAAAACTGCAATTCATTCTTAGTCAATAAGGGAAAACTTTTTAAAAAGACATCTACCTAATAAATGTAGAAGAAATAAAAGGCTTAGAAAATCACCATTCATTCTGCAACCCAAAATGAAATAATTGATTCAGGCAAGTGTTATAAATCACCAAAACTTTAAGCAAAATGTTGTTAGGGAACAAGATATTATCTGGTGCCAAATATCACCACACAAATTATTTGCAAATCCTACAGGGGAAAAAAAAAAAAAGATAACTTAAAATGGAATGACCTGCCTGGCCAGTGTGGCTCAGTGGTTGAGCGTCAACCCATGAACCAGGTCATGGGTTCCATTCCTAGTCAGGGGTGTACAGGATGCCGCCAATCAATGATTCTCTCTCATCGTTGATGTTTCTATCCCTCTCTCCGAAATCAATAAAAAAAACATTTTTAAAAAAAGAATGAATTGATAGTCAACATCTTACCCAAGTGATCAAACATTGCATCACTTATAATAGGACAATTTTGACATTATTTGGTCTATTAAATATTTTTCTCAAAGTGTTTAATCTTAATCTCATCAAGCCTTTAGACCTTACAGTTTATAGGATATTTACATGGGCTAAAGAAACAGGTTAAACATATCACACTATAAAGAGGTAACCAGCCAATCCAGAATGCTGGACATTCTCTAAGACAACTAGCCTGGTTTCTTCAAAAAGGCATTACAATAGAACAAAGGAGGAGCAAAAGGAGGGGAGAAGAATGAAAAATTTAAAAGGCAATAATAATCTAATGTAATGTGTAGTCTTGTTTGGATTCTGGTTTTTAAAAAATTCCTATCTAGGATATTTTGGAGATAATTGAGGAAATTCAAACATGAACTGAATATTTGCTAATATAAGGAAGTATTGTTAACTTTCTTAAGTGCAATAATGGAATTTTGGTTATGTAGGAGAAACACTATTTAAGAGGTGCATGATGAAATATTTAAGGGTGAAGAGTCATGATGGATGCAACAGATTTTCAAGTGCTTCACATAGTATATCCATAAAGAAAATATGGTAAAATGTTAGCAATTGTTGAGTGTAGGTGGTAGGTTTATGGGTGATGATTGTACTGTTTAAACTTTTTTATATTTTCTTTATTTATTTTAGAGAAGGGAGAGGGAGAGCTAGAAACATCAATCATGAGAGAGAATCATTGATTGGCTGCCTCCTGCATGCCCCAACTGAGGATTGGGCCCACAACCCAGGCATGTACCCTGACCAGGAATCGAACTGTGACCTCCTGGTTCATAGGTTGATGCTCTACCACTGAGACATGCTGGCCGGGCTGTTTAAACTTTAAAAAAATAATTTTCATTGATAAAAATTGGGAAAAATATGATGTGGAATGGAACAAGACTGGCTAAACATTGATAATTACTGAAGGGAAATTATATATAGGAGTCCATTATACTGCTTTCTCTACCCTTGTAAATTTCCACATTAAAACTTTTTTTTAGCCCTAGCTGGTTTGGCTCAGTGAACAGAGTGTCGGCCTGCAGAATCAGGAGTTCTGGGTTCAATTCACATGCCTGCAGAATCAGGTTTCGGGTTCGATTCACATGCCCGGGTTTCAGGCTCGATCCCCAGTGGGGGGCGTGTAGGAGGCAGCCGATCAATGATTCTCTCTCATCATTGATGTTTCTATCTCTCTCTCTCCCTCTCCCTTCCTCTCTGAAATCAATAAAAATATATTTTAAAAAAACAAAAAACTTTGTTTAAAGAAACAGGAGCCCTGAAAGGAAATAAGACAAAATAAGGAGAAATGAAAGAGACATCACATACAAGGTTATTATTGAACCTTGTTCAATTCCTTTGGGTGTTGGTTCTGGCCTTAATATTAGTCAAGTTTTATTGGGCAACCCCAATTCAGTAGAGTCATCTGAAAAGGGATAGTTTCCTGAAATGGAAATAAGGCTTGGGGACGCCAGTGCCTTTCCTCCCACCCACTCCACTACCACCCCCCCACCCCCAAATGAGGGAGTGGACATTAGGATCAAAGTGAAATAGAATTAAAGAAGTCTAAAAGAAAAACAGAGCAATAAAAAAAGTTTTTTTGGCAAAGGTGCCAGCAGACCCTGAACGACGGATGAATGATTACTCCAAGACAACAGTTGCTGTGAAAAAGAGGGCTAAGGGACGGCCTGGCTAAAGGAACCAGGCAGCCTCGATTGCCTGCCTTGTTAGGCTTTTATTGCAGTTTGATATAAAGTTTATCTTTTAGATACAATCAGTAGGGTGAGTAATCTTGGGAAGACACATGTGTTTGCATTGTCCTCTAGGCAAGGGCACCCAAAGACTGGGCATAAGGATTCCAGTAAACACCTGGGGATCTGCATGTGCAGACTTGTTTGGAAAGGTCAAGGAATAATTAGGGGTGCCGCTTTCAACACTCCCCTAAATCGGATTTCCAATAAACAGAGCAGGCGGCTTTCCGCACACTTCCCTTTTCTCAGAATGTCCTCCTTACAAACTTTCCAACCAAATCTCATGCTCCCCCACATCTCCCCCTTTTTTGTTTTGCCGGGTATAGAAGACAGAGGGCTGCGGTGAACTTGACGCCTGGGAATGTTGGGTTCTACGAGGCTTGTTCACTGTTGAGTTCTGATTCTATAGACTATAAGAAAAACAAAAAGAATTACAATGAAGGCAACAGTTAGTCCGATCAGGTGCCAATTGATTCCAGGAAACCATGTGGTAGGGTCTATCCAGTTTAAATGCTCCTTTACTGCATTCCAAGCAGTAGTATGTTGTTTGTGCTCATTAATAGCAAGTAGGGAGTCTTTGTTTTGTTTTTGTAAAGCATTCACTTCTTCAGTAGGATTGTCATGAAATACTCCCCACAAATGCTCTTAATGTCAACCTACTGATGGTGACCGCTGTTCCATTTTAAGGGGTGACACATATGTGCTTATGTCCTCAACTGCAATTAAGTATTTGTCTGTATGCTAAGGTGTCCTGTCTTTTCCCCAAATATTCAATGGCTGCTTCTACAGCTTCTAACCTAGCCAAATTTTTTTTACCTATGTGCTGCTGCATAGTAAATTCTTTAGTTACATTCTTGGCCATACTGCCTACAAACATGGCAGTCTACACAGACTCAGAAAGGCCCACCACAGCTACACTGGCAGTAGTAAGAATAACAATAGCCAAGATAATGGCTGTTATGAGCATCCCCAAAAATCTTTTAGGCCTCAAATGACTAATGCTTTCTAAAATTTCAATGGATGATGAACCTTGCCACTCCCTAGTAAGGTTAATGGGTATTAAGACCTCAGCCTGTCTCCTCAATATTATAATGGTGTTTATATTCAATGAGGTGACATTTTGATTGGTAATACAGGATGAATAGTAGGCCCTTTCTCCTACCTGTATTAGAAAAAAATTATTGTTAAGTAATTTGTAAGCTGGGACCCATGAGAAATACATAAGGATGTATGGTACATACCAAACTACTATCTGAATGATATTTTGAAAAGGTCCTAGTATAATTATTGGACTTCTGTTGATAATCCCTGTCCCATAAGTTCAGTGGATGGAAAACATGTCCTAATCTCCATAAGGTTTCCTGAACCGGAAAATCTTGTAGTTGAGGGCGAGGGGAACCAAACCTCCTCCTGTCCATGCAAGGGGGGATTCTAGCTGACCCCACAAGAGTGCCATTGGAGGTACGGTTGGACTAAAATATTAGTATGATTAGCTTGCAGGTGGCCATGTGGGCCCCAGTCTACAATCCGATGGTCTCCCAGCTGATAATAATGAGCCCGTTCCCCTCGGCAGACTTCCCAATGTAAGGACTCCAGGGAGGGATCCCACTTCTTATTTTGCTTACATGGAGGCAGTGGTGGAGCTGTAGCACAGGTATGCCTGCCCTTGGCTAGACTTCCTGCTGAGAGGAAGATAAACTGGGCCCTTGCTTGTCCTTCCTTGGGGATAGTATGTAACCAGATCTGATTATGAGCCTTTAAACAATATTGGGGTGTAGAGGAAGTAGTAACACAAAGGGATAAGAGGTTAGAGTGGAAGGTAGTATTAGGGGGCACTGGGGTCCAATGTGTCCCATTTTCAAGACTGCCTATAGGTGGCAAGTCCACGCCTCCTAGGAAGGAGGTCAAATTGTTAGAGACAGGGAAAGGGGTGTCTCCCCAGTGAGGGATCTAAAGAAAGGTGGATCTATAACATGGACCCAATACATGGTGGCTGATGCTGGTCCAAAGCCAAATAAGAATACTAAACCATACCGCACAAGAGCTGAGATGAATCAAAGCAGTCATAGCAAGAAAGAGGTTATCTGGCGTGAGTGGAAAGGAAGTACGCTGCAACAGTTCCTCAGCCTCTTTCATCAGCTTCTTTATCATTCCCCAGGTTATTTCGGGGACCGTCCGGGTCCGGCGAATGCGCAACGTTCGGTTCTGTGGAGTCCCCGAACCAGAATTCTTCGTTTCTGGAAGAGTATTGGCCCCGTGCAATGCCACGGCAGGGTTTGATCCAGCGTGCTGTAATCCACAGCAGCCCTGTGGGGGTAGAAATACACGCATATCCCTCCCCATGTTAATAATTCATTGGATCCCATTCAGTTATTGGTGTCCACATATCGCCACAAGACTTGTGGTTTCTAAGGTGGGGTTATTGAGGGTTAAAAATGATTATTCAGATTCAAAAAAATTAAAGGTAAGGACTGCTTTAGATAGTAGTATAGCAGGATCCTTGAGTCCCATATTCCCTCTTTATTGTTTTACTAGCATAACCTTCAGGGTAGCATGGGCACGTTCAATGATGGCCTGCCCTTGAGGATTGTAAGGAATTCCTGTAGAATGCTGGATGGACCAAGTTCTGCAAAAAGCAGTGAAGCCCTGGCTGCTATAAGCAGGCCCATTATCTTGGTTAATATAGCTACAATTGGAAACAGGTCTTATTGAATTCATGCAAAGAAACGTATTGCCACTTATTAAGAATTGCCAAATACTGGAGGGACAGGTAGGGCTTAAAATGCAAACCTGGAAGGATTGTCAAATTTATTTTGCCAAAAAAATCATATTTCAAAGTGTATTAGACACAAACATAGGCTAGCAAACGTCAATTCCCATGGTTAATAGATGGCCTTTAAAAAAAATTTACCTGATTAATATAACATATAACAATTTCAATAATTTATAGAACTTTTGCTTCCTGGGTAAAAAAAAACAAAACAAGACAGATCTTTTTCCTTTTAACAGACTAGAAAAGGACTCTCCAAAATAAGGTTTATTTTCTAATTTCATTTGTCCTTGGGTGAGGTCAGCAAATGACACTAATTGGATTTCTGCTACCTGTATCCCTGAGTATATTGATATAAGCTATTTACCCTCTGGTTAGGGAGGCAAAATGCAAATCATTTACTCTTAAGTGTCCTTGGTTTAGGGAAGGTAGGATTTACTAGATGGCTCCAAATTGCTGTTTAACCATTTCAATTTCCCTATTTTACTTGTCCTGGCTTACTGGTCTGTGTTATTTATATAATTTCCTTTCAACATTTCTCTTTATAAACAGTCTACTTTCACAAACCTTTCTACAACTTCCACAAACCTTTCTTCAGAACCTTACAACTTTCAGAAATAACCAGCTCTAGAAACCACTTTCTTTCTCCTTCAAAATGCATCTCCATGCCTCATCCTTCTATTACACCAAAAACATACCTTCTTTCCAATTAGTTAGAATTCTTAACCCTTAAAAAACTTCATTTTTAGGTGACATATAAGTAATTAACATTCCACAGATTAGCAATACATTCATATTTTAATAGATATTTCAAATAAAAAACAACTTATTAACAGATTCAAATCCATCCTCTAGATTCTCCATATGAAGCAAATTCAGATTGATTAATATTTCAAAATACCTCGATATTTAATAATTTTTACTATTTAATCCAGCAAACTCCAAAGTTTTGAGTTACCAAACACTTTGGAAAACTATGTTTAGGCATATATAATTACCACTGAAAAAGCTTTTTCATATACCCTTCATTTCAGTTATATTTATTTTGCCTTAACAACTTTGAGATTTTAAAGCCAATTATTACAAGCCAAGGCATTTTCTTGGCAAATTTTGTAACAGGGGTAACTCAGTGGCTTTAATGTTAAAGTATTAATTTTTTTTTTTACAAAAATGGGAGTGGCCCCCAAACTGCTATTTCTGCAGCCTGCTGGAGGGCACTTCTACAGATCTAATTATCTTAGGAAAAAGACTTGGGGGGTTTAAATGATTATTTCCCATACTTTTTCTCTCTGAGTAGACTAACAACATGAAATCTTACATATAAGAAGAGATCTTAAAAACAGAAACAAAACAAAAAAACCCTATAGTAAATAGATGAGTACTCATAAAAGGGTGGATTGGGACATTAGCCTTAGAATCTTCAAACTAAGTCCCTCAAAGATAAGAAAGCAAGCAAAGAACATCAATCAGTAACCAAGTTACATTACAGATAGACAAGAACTTCTACTAAGAGTTTCTAGTGGCTGATGCCTTGAGAGCGAGAGCAAGAAGGATCCCCAAGATTAAGAATTCTTGGCAGCTGCTGGGAAGTTCCTGCAATCCCTGCCATGTGTTCAGTCTGCCACAAGTAGCTGGGGCCCCTAGCAAAGTGAAATATGCCCCATCTTTAAACAAATTAAACCAAACAACAAAGACACATAAAGCAACAATCAACAGATGCTCATATATGATATTTACAAGCGTGCATAACACACAGACAAGACTTAATAAGTCAGAGTTCTTTTCATAGATCTTTCAGAAGATATTTTAAAGTACCTGGGACTCACAGCCTGAATGGGGCCCAGAGGGCTCCCAGGTGAGGTCGCCAGTGAACACCCATAAACAGCCTGTTGTTCACAGATCTCATCATATTCTGTTCTCTATCATAAATACTGACTGGCATCCAGAGTTGTTTTAGCCAAATCTGCCAGTCCCAAGGCGTCTATGGTAATTTTCTGACAAGGCATTAAGGAGTCCTTTTGTAAATGGACTGCTAGCCTCATTTTCTCTAATACTTTTCCTTATTTCTTTAAAGGTATTAAAGAAGAGTGGTTCATGTATCTGATTACCTTGCTGATCTTGCATAACTGGGCAGGCCAAAAGCTCTCCTTCTAACATAGCTTGCCTGACACATGATCCCTTAACTGAGGATCTAGTTGATGAGCCTTCCCACACCGGAGGCGGAGGATTGGGGGCCTTAGGTATTACAGGCTTGACAGGCTCTACTTCAGGAGGAGGGGGCAGTGATAAATCCTCCTGGCGTTCTGTAGGCTTTTGATCCTCAATATGAAGTGGGCATAGTGCAGCTCGAACAAGAGCCCACATAGTTAAAGATGACAAGGGCACTCGTTTTCCCTGGGCCTGATTTCTCTTTAAATTCCTACCTACTTGTTCCCAGAGATCAAGGTCTAATGTTCCAGCATTAGGGAAACAAGGACTATAAATTATAACAATTTGCAACAGGCTCTTTAATTGTTCTTCTATAAATGAGGCACCATTTGCTTTTAATTACTTTTTAAATTTTTTGTATGTGATGAAATTTTCACTTCTATTTTTTTTAAATAATTTTTTAAGTAACAAAGAGATCTGTTATTCGGTGGACAGTTGCTGTCCTATTGTGAAACCTTAGCTGAAAAACATTTCCCTCAAACTTAGATATCCCAAGTGGGTTCCAATGACTTACTGCGCAGTTACTTTCGTTTCCTTCCTCTTTGTTTTCAAGGGTTCCGCATGTCTCGTTGCATTCCTTCGTCTTCACACCGGGTACCACATTGCCAGGGCTGGTCAGCAGACCCTGAACGACGGATGAATGATTACTCCGACACAACAGTTGCTGTGAAGAAGAGGGCTAAGGGACAGCCTGGCTAAAGGAACCGAGCAGCTTCGATTGCCTGCCTCGTCAGGATTTTATTGCAGTTTGATATAGAGTTTATCTTTAGATACAATCAGTAGGGTGAGTAATCTTGGAAGGACACATGTTTGCAATGTCCTCTAGGCAAGGGCACCCGAAGATTAGGCATAAGGATTCCAGTAAATGCCCGGGGGTCTGCACATGCACAGACTTGTTTGGAAAGGTCAAGGAAAAATTAGGGGCGCCGCCTTCGACACTCCCCTGTCGGAATTCCGATAAACAGGGTAGGTAGCCTTCCACATACTTCCCTTTTCTCAGAATGTCCTCCTTACAAACTTTCCAAGTCTCATGCTTCCCCACACAAAGGCAAGAGGCAGACCAAATATTGAAAGAGAGGAAACAAATAAGAACAATGTTAAGACACCCAGAAAAAGACAAAATAAGGAGCAGGCTTACTGTGAAGCCTGGGCTAAAGGTCAGATTAATCTCAAGACTTTACAATTGGGTCATTTATAACCCAGGGGTTCTGAGAGCCAGTGCGCAGTTTTTTTTAATCAGAAGGGGATGCAGACTCTCAAATCCACTGAGCTTGTTTGGGGCGGGACCTGAGGACCCAGACCCCTACGGGGAGAGGCGGGACAGCCTTGAAACGGGCCGGAGAGTGAGAGTGGCTGTCTTGCGGAGCTGCTTGCCAGCACTCGGGGACGTGAGACGCTGAGTCTCGGAGAGGTGAGGAGACGCCATTGCCCTTGGCCCCGCCCTGGTGATTCGCCAAGAACAGAAGTGCGGAGTCGCGCGCCAGGCTGGCTGCAACTGGATGCGCGGTTTTTTTCAATCAGAAGGGGATGCAGATTCTCAAATCCACTGAGCTTGTTTGGGGCGGGATCCTGAGGTCCCAGACCCCTACAGGGAGAGGTGGGACGGCCTTGCAACGGGCCGGAGAGCGAGAGTGGCTGTCTCGCGGAGCTGCTCGCCAGCTCTCAGGGACGCGAGACGCGGAGTCACAGAGAGGCGAGGAGTGGTGGAGACGCCATTGCCCCTTGCTCTGGTGATTCCCGGGGACCCCGCCCTACTCAATTTACATCCCCACCCATGCTGTGCTAGTGGCACAAAGAGAACCACCGGCGCTTTTGCAGCCCAGCCCAGCAGAATGCAGATTTCAACTCCTCGCATACATAAGGGATACACTCAAGAAGCAGAATCAGGCTCGGAGGAAGCCAGAGCCAGACCCGCCTGGGCCGGCAACGTGGAACAGCTGTACCAGCAAATGCACAGGCAGGTCCACCAGATCCAGTCTCACATGGGACGCTGGGAGACGGCAGACAGGCAGTCTGTGCACTTGATAGAAAACGAAATCCAAGCAGGCATACCAGATATTCAACCACCAGGAACGCCTGGAGATTTTGTCAAGCAAGAAGCCACCCAACAAAGGACAGAATGCCAAACTTCGTGTTGCTGAGACGGCCCCCGTGAGGCCGAGGCGGCCCATGTGAAGTTGAGACAGCCCCTGTGAGGTTGAGACGGCCCCTGTGAGGCTGAGACGGCCCATGTGAAGTTGAGACGGCCCCTGTGAGGTTGAGACGGCCCATGTGAGGCTGAGACGGCCCCGTTGAGGTTGAATCGGCCCCGGTGAGGCCGAGGCGGCCCCGGCGAGGCCGAGACGGCCCATGTGAGGCTGGGATGGCCCCGGTGAGGCTGAGTCGGCCCAGGTGAGGTCGAGATGGCCCCAGTGAGGCTGGAACAGCCCCAGTGAGGTTGAATCGGCCCCGGTGAGGCTGAGACGGCCCATGTGAAGTTGAGACGGCCCCTGTGAGGTTGAGACGGCCCATGTGAGGCTGAGACGGCCCCGTTGAGGTTGAATCGGCCCCGGTGAGGCCGAGACGGCCCATGTGAGGCTGAGACAGCCACAGTGAGGCCGAGACGGCCCCGGCGAGGCCGAGACGGCCCATGTGAGGCTGGGACAGCCCCGGTGAGGCTGGGACGGCCCCGGTGAGGCTGAGACGCCCCCGGTGAGGTTGAATCGGCCCCCGGTGAGGTTTGAGACAGCCCC